GATGGATGGATGGAGAGAGAGAGAGAGAGAGAGAGATAGGCAGACAGACAGATAGAGACAGACAGACAGAGATTGGGATGGATGGATGGATGGATGGATGGATGGATGGAGAGATAGATATAGAAGATAGATAGATAGATAGATGATAGATAGATAGATAGATAGATAGATAGATAGATAGATAGATAGATGGATAGATAGATAAATATGGATGGATATAGATATGGATGGATGGATGGAGAGAGAGAGAGAGAGAGATAGGCAGACAGACAGACAGACAGACAGAGATAGGGATGGATGGAGGGAGGGAGAGATATATAGAAGATAGATAGATAGATAGATAGATAGATAGATAGATAGATAGATAGACCCAACCATTTCTTTTGCCACAGTCATTCTATTATTATTATTATTGCCAATAATAGTCAATAAAAAGACAAAAAAAAGTCTGAATAGTGGACATCGCAGGACTTGGAGACAGCAGAATAGAAGAGAAAGAACTGGAGATCATAAAACACCAGACCTGCAAATAGAAATAGAAGAACGGTGGCCAAAGAAAGCCAATGTACGACCAATAGTGATAGGCACCTTGGGTGCAACCCAAAATGACTGGAGCGCCCCTTGTATACCATCGACATTGACAAAATCCCTATCAGTCAATTTCAAAAGGCAGCTCTTTTTTTGGAACAGCGGACATCCTTCGAGAGATACCACATTTGTCTCTCTCAGGTCCTTGGAAAGAACTAGATACGTGGATAAAACATTTGGCATTGTGACCAATAATATAAATATTCTTTCTTGCTTCCTTCTAGTTTTATTTGGCACCGCTTTCAAAAGCTTAATAGTTAATAGTTCCCTTATATTATCATTTTTTTAAAAAATGTCAAAATAGGATGGTTAGTTTTTTATTGAACCCACAATGCTTTGTCAAACAGAACATTTTCGGTGGGAATGAAATTAAGATGGGCAATTGGGCAATTCCACGAATACGCCCACCGTCAAAATTTAAGCTCCATAAATCTTTTCCTTTGCCGAGTGATCATGTCATCAAACTACCTCTTCAAAATGAAAATCTATACCACGCTAAATCCTTTGGCGTTCAAACTTGTAAAAAGTTGATGGTGCTAAGTGGTTCTTCTTTTATGTATCAGAGCAGAATTTGGCAAAAAACCAACATTTATTCTTTTAGAAAAGCAGATTTTCCTGGTTCCTGAAACAGGTTTGATTGTTGTATCTAACCGGTAATTAAAAGGCAGTACATTAATGTAAAATACCCTGGATAACTTCTTTAACTGGGGTGAATTGGGGTGAATTGTGTCAAAGAGGGATGCTGCTATATGAACAACGTATGATACAGGCTGTCCTCAACTTACAACCTGTGCACGATGCCTTTAATACCATCAAACATTTGTTTAGTGACCATTTTTTTAAAAAAATTGATTTATATGCCTCCCTTCTCCAGAGACTCAGGGCGGCTTACAGTGTGTTAAGCAATAGCCTTCATACTTTTGTATATTTATACAAAGTCAGCTTATTGCCCCCCCACAAACTGGGTCCTCAATTTACCTACCTTAGAAAGGATGGAAGGCTGAGTCAACCTTGAGCCTTGGCGAGATTTGAACCTGCAGTAATTGCAGGCAGCTGGTCTTAATAACAGGGTGCTTTAGACCACTGTACTACCAAGGCCCTTGAAATTGCCTTGTAATTTGAAATTACAATGGCACTGAAATTTTTTTTAGAAGTGTAAGTTGCTCAGCGTCATTTGGTTGAGTTGGGCAGCTCTAGAAATCAAATAAATAGATATAGGATACATTAGATAGATGGATAGATAGATAGATAGATAGATAGATAGATAGATAGATAGATAGAT